TAATTAATTATCTCTGCCGATTGGATAATTTGAAATAAGGGCCTTGTTCTGATTGGTTCCCTTCCCACATCTCACAAAGCAATTAGAGAGCGAGATGTCAAGAGTGGCCAGTAAGGAATTCCTTATATCATTGGTTGTTATTAATAGATATAAGCTGAAATAAAATACCCAATCGGCAATAAAGGACAGGTAATGCATGTGCGATGATACATGTCAACATGCTGTGTATTAATAATCCATTTTTCTTTTTAATAAAAATATCACAATATCAATAAAATGTCATTCAAACTTGTTATATAGTGATGCCAGTTTATAAAACTTGTTTTCTGTCACTTCAAATTTGTTGAAATTGCATTCATTTAACACACATAATGATGCACAATGCAAACAGGGAAATAAACAAAAATGGCGGCGATTGCCGCGATGATTCCCATTATATAACACTTCACATCAAATAAATCAAACTTATTTTGGTAATATAAAATGACGAAATGTATCTTCTCTATGACAAAACTTAAATTTATTTACGACTAGAGTTATGTGGTTAATTTATTGAGCAGTTCCGATAGTTTTTCAGTCAGACGCTACCAAAATCAGTTAATCTCGCAAAGTCTCCGGGAGTACGAGATTTTATCAATCTTACACTGAAAAACCTATCAGATTCATTTCCCGTTAGATATACTGTTCCTAGGACAAATTAATAGTTTAAAGGCAGTGGCTATTTTCCCGCCGCTGACAAAATTGAAAAGTATGCTAGTTTGTCAACTCTGAGTAAGCGGAAGCCAGCATGCCAGTAATACAAAGTTGTTTACAGATATGCCATTCAAAACTGACTTTTCTTCATAATGTTTTTATCAAGTCTATTTGCTCTGAGATTTTTATCTTTCATTTGTTTTACAGCTTAGTTTAAAAATCTGAGATTTTATTCTTTTGCATACATGTAGCATTAGACTTATTTTAGAAGTAATTTCAACTACATTGTTTTTTATATAGTTTCATTGCTACAAATAGATGCACAATAATTCTTTTTTGATTCCTTTTTACAAATTTTTATTTTCACTTGGACTCATAAATGTTTTTAAATGATTATATGTATCTCAATTATTGTGACACTAATCTTGTTCAACTATATGTGGAATAATAATTTGATTTTTATTACAATGCATATTATCGTAGTATTTTTCAAAAGTTAATATTCACTCTTCACAAAGAACCGGCAAAATAACAAATTAACTATATTGCCGGTGCGTCAATATAGCCATTGCTATCCAAATATGCTATTTTGCTCATTTTAATTAAGATATTTTAATCAAAGACGACAAAATAGCCACTGCCTAGTTTTAGAAACTCAAAGACTTGATAGAATACTAATTCTCAGTTGTCCATTGTGGACGATTTCATTAAGCAATTTAGCTATATTCAATTAAATTTATCAGACTTTTGCATTTTTATATCAATTACGTTTTAAAAGAACAAATACTTTAATTATTTTATGATTCGTGTTTTCGTTAAAGGGCATTGGCTACGAGATATAGAAAAAAAATAAGTTTTTGTTCAGAAAAAAAAAAAAGATCAGTTTTTGTTCAGTCATTAAAAGAAGTGAAATAGTGAATAAACTATTCGCTTTTAGAAGCCAGTTTGCATCAGTTTTGTCAACATAAGCAAATAAACATCGGAAATGAATTATTCACTTGCAAGTGGATAATTCGACCTCATTAAATCCGTTTTCATGGGTTAAGCATAAACTAGACGTGTTCATCAATTAAAAGAAAAAGAATGTCAACATTGGAAGTAAAACAAGGGGAAGCCATTTGGTTGACTGATTCAATCTACAAAAAAAACCCTCATTTTTGTACCGTTAAAAACGATTATTAACATATCGTATTAACCTATAATATAAAATCAAACAGACCTTGAAAAATCCAATTACACGAGTTCGCTATCTTGATATCTATATCTATGTTTATGTTTATGTTTATATCGAGTAATATGACAGTCGGCAGTCTTAGGAGGGTCGCATCGATGGTTAATTAGATATACACAAAATGCTGATTCATACTATCAACTCAATGCATCGTAAATCATTTATTTTATGCTTTTTTTATAGTTTGGATGTACATTTTATTATGTTATGAGTCGAATATGAGAATTCGAGTCAAATCAGTGAATATGATCCACAGCTAATGCCCCTTTAAGTTTTAAACTGAAATACTGTTTTAAGGTTTTCAACATTGTCAATTTAGTCTTAATTAGTTTTTATCTTGTAATCTTAACTTGTCTTACTTGTTGTTAAAGTGTTCTGGTATTCCATATACAACTATCATTCTTATCCCGAAAAAAATTTGAGTTAACTTGTGACAGTAACCTAACAATGATAGAATTAATATTCTAATCTTAAACTGCACTCTGCTCACTGTCACTTTCTTATATGGCATGCTGCATCTTCAAGAGAAGCTCTCCAATTCTCGACTCTTATGTGTGCTAGCTGTCCAGATTATGTCTTGTATTCCCTAGATACCAGAGTATACAGCCAATGTGAGCGATGTCCGGAATATGCGTTTAATTTGCGCTGGACATTTAACAGTCATCCATCATCATGAGACAAACAACACATTTTAGTAAAATGGTGGTTTTCTTTGATATATCCAATATTTCTTTATTTTCTTTTTTCCCAAAAAATGAAAAAAATAGACGCGAGTAAATATCTACTCAAAAGATTTTAAAATCATTTGTATAGATATGTTTCAATTCATTATTGTACTCTAACTTTACATGATACATATATATGATTGATAGTTGTTTGGCGAACGTCCAGTGGCAAATACTTCATGCATATTTATGACAGAGAGCAATTAAGAGAGTTAAATTTATTTCAAACAGGAAACAAGAAATTGGATGTTTTGTCATAAGAGAAAAGGAGGGGGCGTTATGAATAATCATAAGACCAATAAAATCATACAACAGCATAAACATATAGAGACGACAAAAGGAAAAACAACAATAACAAAATGTAAATAAAAAACAGGTAAATACTGATTCAACACGAAGTTCGGGGCACCACTAAGCCGAGGGAAAAAAAATCAGAAATAAACAGATATCGCATAAATAGTTAATTCATAGAAAGCAGTCATTTTTGTTGGTCACTTGTATTAGTCTCACCCAAAATTAAAGAGACCACCAAAAAGGGACCAAATAAACAATTGCTCTTTGTATGCATTCTGACTAATTATACAAGCTATCCCGCGCGACTATCAGATATTTATTTGAAGTTACCCAAGCTATATCATGGTTTTGTTCCATCTTTATTTCAGTTTTCAATGCAAACATTAATATTTGTTCTGATTGAATGTCACGGATAGTAGCTTATGCACCATACCCTCTCATGGCGTCGTAATTTTTATTTTTATGAAAATAAAAATATATTGAAAAGCTTATTGAACCACTGTGCAATATAATATAACAATTCTCATGTGATTTCTTACATCTTTTGTCCTATGATTTTCAATGTATATTATTGTTCAAAGTTCTGTAATTTGTTATCACTAAATGTTAACTTGGCATGCCATACTCGATCGAAAATGCGAACGTGAAAGAAAGCACTTCATCAAATCGTCAACATGGAGATTACATTCCATGGAGGTAACATTTCGCCAATTTCGTCTATATAAAACAAAATTAATATGTGTATCTATACAAAGGACATTTGTATTGAATTCTAATGTTGGCACCCATTTTTATCTGCTGAATGTAGAATTTTACAGAGAAAAACTACTGCTCTAATTTAAAACTCCTATTTTCATTTCAACTTTGCATAGCATAGACTGGGCTAATTATTACAAATAATGTGGAAATGAACGTTAAAATAATTTACAAATTTACAATATTCATTTCCATGTCTTTTTTCACAGTTATAAGGACGTATATATGTATCATATGCATGTCTGTGTTTCAAACCCTCGACGAATCGGCGGTTAACGAAGCTTCGCTAAAAACAAAGACTTGCTGTTCCATTTTCTTCTTTTTAGTTTGTAATAGATAAATAAAAAATTATAATCATAGCATTTATTTCTATTTACCACGTTTATCGCAATTGTCCAAGATCTTGGTACAGTTATTTGATCTTAATTTGTCAGAGATCATATCTCTGAAATGGCGGCGTTGAATCAGGATTTACACTTGTTACCAAAAGTTAGATTTTCGATGTGGCCACAGGCCTCGACCACGCTAAATGCTGTTGCAAACTGTTTTGAAATATCAAACAATTAAAATAAGAGTAAAATTACTCTGGTCGAGGCATGTGGCAAATGCGAATTTTAAACAGGAAGTGTGAAATTCTTGAAGAATTTGGACATTTTGAGCGATCTGGTTCGATTCCAAGTATTACGTCACATTAATGACGTCACAAAAATATGATTTTATACTATAATAAAAAATAACAATATACTTAGATATGTAATAGCTATTAAAGATTCACCTTATTTCACTTTTATTTTTTGTCACCTCACAGGGCCATTATCGGCTCTTCGTGGCCATACTCCTTTGCCTAGCAGTTTTTGCTATCTTTATCCACATCAATTTGAAGTAATGCTCTTTCCGGCTCTTGTAGCACACTTGTCTTCCGGCTCTTGTAGTTCTGGGTACACCGAGTAGCATCTAACATTGCTTCTTGCTCTTGAAACTAACTACACCGAGTTGACCGCTACACTGAGTTGAGCATTACTTCCATGTGCATTACTGACATTGTTATTCCGGCTCTTGTAGTCTAAGCTGCACTGAGTAAACAACTACTTCTCTGCTCTGATAGCTTCAAATAGCTGCTACACCGAGTTTAACTATGTCAGTAATTTAGAAAATGCTGGGTCTGCCCCAAACCCAATATAGCCCATTCAATCTTTAATGCTGTCAAAGTTGTAATAACTTAATTGAAATTTTGAAAATAATTAATGAACCATAACAATTGGTATCCAACATTGTGCTAGTAAGTTTGTGTTTATTTTCAGTGATGGAGATGGAATACAAGATACTGATGATAATTGTCCATATTTGGCTAATGGAGAACAGTCTGATACCAATGGGGATGGAACAGGTAAATCTTCTGGAGGGAAGTCTGTTATCCATAGATTACTTAACAGGGACTTAGTTTATCTGGTTCTGAAGGGAAGTCTGTTATCCATAGATTACTTAAGAGGGACTTACTTTAACATACGAACCCTATGGGAAATACATGCAAATCTTTCAATCAGTCTAATTGAAGTCTGGAGCTGGCATGTCAGTTAACTGCTAGTAGTCTGTTGTTAATTATGTATTATTGTCATTTTGTTTATTTTCTTTGGTTACATCTTCTGACATCAGACTCTGACTTCTCTTGAACTGAATTTTAATGTGCGTATTGTTATGCGTTTACTTTTCTACATTGGCTAGAGGTATAGGGGGAGGGTTGAGATCTCATAAACATGTTTAACCCTGCCGCATTTTTGCGCCTGTCCCAAGTCAGGAGCCTCTAGCCTTTGTTAGTCTTGTATTATTTTTAATTTTAGTTTCTTGTGTACAATTTGGAGTTTAGTATGGCGTTCATTATCACTGAACTAGTGTATATATTTGTTTAGGGGCCAGCTGAAGGACGCCTCCGGGTGCGGGAATTTCTCGCTGCATTGAAGACCTGTTGGTGACATTCTGCTGTTGTCTGTTCTATGGTCGGGTTGTTGTCTCTTTGACACATTCCCCATTTCCATTCTCAATTTTAAATGTCTTCTGTTAGAGAACTACTAAATGGAATGAAACCAAACATGGCATGAATGTTCCTAATGAGGTGTTGACTAAGTGTTGTTACTTTGTAAATCAATCAACCAAGATGGCTGCCAACAGGGGACCAAGTTTATCGAAGGACCCTAAGGGAAATACATACAAATGTCTTCTAGAAAACCACTTAATGGATTGAAACTAAACATGATATGTATCTTTTGAGGTGCTGACCAATAGTTGTTTCTTTGTTGCTGATTTGTCATCCAAGATGTCTTGCCAGCAAGGGGACTAAGTTTAACATAGGACCCTATGGGAAATACATACAATTTTTTTCTTCTAAAGAACCACTGAATAGAATGAAACCAGAAAAGAAGATCTACACATCAGTCAACATAAGCAAAATTTTCAATGGACTTCTTGTTTGAGTTATTGTCCTAATGAAGTCATTTTCTACAATTTCAATGAATCATGTATTGGTAATTTCTGTAAACTTTACAAAAGTCTTCTGCTTTTGATTAAATTAATGGGCCATTTTGAAACCAAATTTGGCCTCAATCATTATTAGGGTATCTGTTATGATTTTAATCTATTTTTACATGATTTCCAAAACCAAAGTAGAATCAGGTGAGTTACGCAGGCTGTAGTTTGTTGAGACTGTGACATTTATGTTAGGGACAAGAGACATAGTGATCTTAGATTTTGTCATTGGCAGCATAAAAATTTTCTGTGATTAAGGTATTTAAGACATCATTAACTTTCTAAAACCTTCATGGAACTTTATGAAATTTTGACTGAAACTTGATAATGACCTCAATAAAGCATCCAGAGCAAAATTTTTAAAATATTTAGTTTCATTTTTTGTATTTACCTGATAAATGGACTTAGTTAAAAAAAAAAAAAAGTTAACAAGGAGATATAGACTGGGGTTAGAGTTTGTTACACATCAATTGCTTTGTCAAACCTTCATGGAATTTAATGAAGTTTGGCAGACAGTATTTTATGATTAATAATATGTATGAAACAATTTATTTTTTTAATTTTCAGTATTTTTCTGATAGATGGAATAAGTTTTTTATTGACGAACAGTCTGGGATTACTTTTTTTTACATGATAAATTTGTTAACCTTCATGGATTGTTATGAAACTTGGACAGAAGCAATATTTCAAGACCAAAAAAAAACATCTAAAGAAAAAGTTTGACCTCTAGGACAGCAATGCTGTTTTGACCTCTTTGTGCTTAAAATTCTGACAGGGATCCTGTTCTGATTTGTTCAGTGATAACATAAACTTTTCATGATCTGTTTATATACTGCTCTAATTGTCCAAATACAATTTGTTCTGCTAGAATTTCTTTATTTAGCATGTACTGAAGTTGTCAACACCTGGATTTTATATTACTGAAGTATAGAAATTGAAAGTTTTCTTTATTATTTCATTTTTGTTCTTGAAATATATTGTCCACTTTTCAATCAGTGAACTCCTCCCACAACTAGCTAGAATGATTTTATTGTGTTCAATTTAACAGAAATTTGGATTTGCTTTGAAAAATGTATACTTTTAATTAAATGTGCATTGCGTTTCAGTGTTTGTATGCTCAACTCTGTTTTAGATTTGGAAGCGATGCCACAAATATTTGGTTAATTTTTGCATACAGCTTTAAATTTGGCATGTTGAAATTTAATTGAAAATCTGTTAAACTTAATATTATTGAACAAAATTCCCTTATTAAAAGTTTGTTTGTAGAGAATTTGCATAAAATCTACCAAAATTTGTTAAAAAAAACCTTCTTCTTTGCCAAATTTATGTGCTTTCTGTCATGATTTAACTTTACTTTAGGTCCTATTTTAGCTCACTTAAAAGGGCAGGGACAAGGAAAGTGCCAAGCGAGTTTGTAAGCACTAGGAGTCTGTTGTTGTCTGATAACTTTAAAAAAATCTTCTCCTCTGAACCTACTGGGCCAAATTCAACCAAACTTGGTCACAATCATCAATGGGTATCTTGTTTAAAATATGTGTCTGATGACCTCAAATTTTACCTTATCTTTGCATGAATTGCTTGCTCTCTAGGATTACAGGACAACTATATTTGGTATATTTGCAAGATCTACAAATCACTAAAATGATCAGCAAGTCAAGATCTACTAACAAGTCAAATGCCGATATAAATGATGATGGAAGTTTTTAACTAACTTGACTGGCTATCTAGCCCTCTCACAGTCTGCTTATGCCGATATTGTTAGTAGACTGTCACTCTTTATAGAAGAGTGATTGCCCTTAAATGAGGATTTTATTTTACCCTCTTTTGTGTTTTGAACAAAAACTAAAGAAGATAGAGAGAAACCAAACAAATTATTTGATCAGTAATTACTAATACAAGATTAACAAAACAGAGATTTTTGTCATGAAAACTATTCTTGTCTACAACATTGTTGAATATGCATATAGACCAAGCTTTTAGTTTTATCAGCACATCAATGTTTTTATTAGGTTTCGGATTTTTAAATATTTTGGCCTGAGCATCACTAAAGAGACCATACCTGCCAACCTCTGAAACCTTCAAAGACGGAGATTTCCCCCTCAGCTATGACAGCTCAGGGAGACTCCCACTCAAAACGGGAGGGTTGGCAGGTATGAAAGAGACATAAATTGTACAAATGAGCTGGTACAGTAAAAGTTGAACCGTTAAATGTTATTACTTTACAAATGTACAATTATTTTGACAGAATTCAGTCAATAATATTTCAGAAAATTATAGGTATAAATGCAATATTTTTTTGATTTTCAGTTCAAGTTACTGCAGCTGTATACAAAGTTTTATGATAATCTGTGAAAGTACCACTTTACTGTAACTTGACCTCAAGTCAGTGATAATGGCAAATATATTGCTTAGAAACTTTATTTTATTACAAACTTCTAGATTTTATACATTAAAAAAATATTAATCGTAATAACAATGATTATTTGTTTTTTTAGGAGATTTTTGTGACACAGATATTGATGGGGATGGTGTGTTAAATGATGAAGATAACTGTGTGTGTATCTCCAATCCATCTCAGACTGATTCAGATGGTACTGTTCTTTTTGTTTGTTATTAGGGAATACACCTTTAATATAGAGTGGATACAGAGAGCTTTTTCTGTCCCTGTGTCAAACTATAGCTAATGGTATATGTTTTTGTCCCCTGTCTGATGTGGAACATAAAAATATTGGTCTGTCAGGTCTGTCAGGTCTTGTAAAGGCTCTCACTTGTACAATGCTTGTCTGATTTTATCAAAATTATATCAGCACTTTCAAAAATCAGTGCTAATCAACTATTTTTAAAAGAGGTATGCCCTTAGAAATATTAATTACATGTATATGGAAAATTGCATTGTAAGCCCTGTCACATGTACAATTCTTTTCAGATTTTTATAAAGCTTATATCAGAAATTTGAATCAATAAAGTCTTGGACAGATTCAAAAATAAAATCTGATTTACTATTTTTAAAAGAGTTATGTCCCTTGGAAATATTCATTATATGGGAAATTGCATTGTTAGCACTCTCATGTGTACAATTCTCGTCAGATTTTTATCAAACTTATATCAGATGTTTATATCAGCAATGTCTTGGATGAGTTAGAAAATCAGTTACAGATTAACTTTTTTGAAAAGAGTTATGACCCTTGGAATTATTGTCTGTGCTCTCATGTGTACAATATATGCAAGATATTGATCAAACATATATTAAAGGTTTAATAAAGGACTTATTTTAAAATCAGATGCAATCAAATATTTTTGAAACAGTTATGCAGCTTGAAATGTTAATTTCATTGAAAATTGCATTGTTAGTGCTTTCAAGCATACATTTCTTTAATATATATATAAAAAGTTAAGAACAAAAAATTTTTTTAAAAATATAGTAATGGCCCATAGATTGATAAAATGTGTGTGACATCGTAACTCTATTCTTTTATTGGAATAATTTATATTTGGTCTGGAACTACATATGATAATGTTGAATTATACCTCGTAGGCATTTTTTTGGATCTGTCAGGTGGACAGTAATTCAATAATACAAATAACAACATTTTCAGAAATTGATGTACATGTACTTTAACATTTGCTTTGTCAATTGTCTTGTGGTAGCATGTATCCTTTGAATGTAGTAGGGTCATGGGTGCGCTCCCTGGCTGGGCCAAAGTAAAGACTTGATAATAAGTATTTGATGCATCTCTGCTAATCACACAGGATTTAAGATTAAGGGGAAAAAGAGTCAGAATAATGTGTCCAAGTAAGGGGATACAAATTAAGCAGTATATATAAGCAGGGTCTTTTTTCACTTCATCATGTTCTCATTCTGAATATGCATTTAATATGCCACTGGATGTTATAACTGCCATCCATCCTTATGTTCTACACTTTCCATCTGTCATATGTGTATTGTTCTTTCATGGTTCTATAGCTTAAAAAAACAATTTTCTTCTTTGCATGAATTTCTTTCTTTATAGGATTAACATGATTACTGTGGATTCATTATTATTCCTTGGATACCAATTTTTGTTGGTTTCGTTGATACAGGTGAACCACGAATTCAAATGTTCAACAAATAACATATCTCAATAGGATATGTTTGCATGAGAGATTGGCAAAACCGTGAAATCAAATACCCATAAAAATGCCAAGTTTTCAGCAATCCATGAAAATTGATACCCACTGAAATAAATGAATCCACAGTACTATATTTGGTAGACAGGATCTTTGCAAGATTTTTTCAATATGTTATTACTGATGACAAAATGGAGGTCAAGTTCAATATTGTTGATTTTCATTTTCATTTTTCAGTTGTTATGGTCCTTGTGAAATTGATAGGTGCCAGAACACAAGTAAATGTTAAAAAATCTGGTTTATTGTTGCTCTGACAGCCTCTTATTTAGATTTAGATATAGATTTGATATAAACTTGTGTTCAGACGAATGCTTATTGGTATAACAATGTTTAATTACCTGAATGAAATTTATTTTTCAAAAAGTAAACTTGCCAATGCAGTGGGAAAATAAAAAAGTTTAAAATTGAAAGAAGTAAAATTTTATTTCAGGAAATCATAGAGGAGATGTTTGTGAAAGTGATTATGACCAAGATGGTACTATTGATACTTTGGACAATTGTCCTAATAACAAATTCATCAATGAATCTGACTTTGGTACTTATACTGGTTTAGACCTAAATCCTGAGCTGACATTACAACCAGCACCAAGCTGGATGATTCTACATGGTGGCAAAGAAATAAGGCAGGTTTCAGTCACTACCAAACCAGTGGCCTATGTAGGTATGTCGTCAAATTAGTGTGGAATTTGTCAGTTATTTCTGGATAACTCCTGCTACAGCTAGTGTAAGTGTTCGGAAATTTTTTATTTGCTGGCTGTTTGTACATACATTAAAGGTGTGCATGTGGTCAGGGTTTAGATTTTTATTGATATTTGCTTTTTTTGGAGATAGTTGAACTTCAATATTTTCTAGTATATACCTTGCATTAGAGGTTCATTGCGTTTTCCAGATAACACTTCTTACAGTGAACCATAGAACTATGTACTCCCGTGCTTAACTTTGTTTATTTTGAAATAACACTTTGGATCTGTGTGGGCATCGCTTGTGTCTTCCAGACACAATAATATCTTAAAGATAGTCCTACATTGACTTTGTTATAATACAGGTACCTCAGAGTGAAGTGCTGGGGCATCACTTTGTTTAGTTGTTTTTTTTATTAAATTTTATGATCATAAACAATGTAGCTATATTATATGTTAGAGGTAGATCCAAGGGGTGTAGAGCAAGGCTTCCAAAACGGTCATATATTCCGGACATTTGTATAATGTCCGGTAAAAGTCCGGCTGGGCAAAGCATGAAACGGTCATCTTCTTTTTAGTTTTCAAGGCTTTCTTAAGAGACGGTCATTTTAACATAATTCACGATCTTTTTGACCCAACCTTTTGCCTTTAACAGCCACACATTTCCGGTCATAAAAGTGACATGATCATTAAGTACTATCAAAACAACCCCTACTGTAATACCTTCTCATTGTAATCAAGGCTAATTAGTTGTCGAACAGCTGAAATTTACCTGTTCAGGTGACATGTAAACTATTTTGAACTGCACATTGATCAGTCTATTCAAAGTTATTTTCTTACATTTCAGCGGTTTGCATAGAAATTAATTTAGTCAAAAAGACTTAAATTTACAAATCATTTCAAATATAATTTGATGAAAAAATTGAAAAGGTGAAAATAAAAAATCGTCATAACCATGCACGTTGTTTGAAACATAGACATGTCTCTGGTTTGAACTAGTACACGTGTGCGCATGTGTGCAGGTGTGAAATTTTAATTATGCATCCTCATTTCTTCAAAAAATGCTTAAATTGTCATTGATACCTTTCTCTCACGTTTATTTCGAATATTTTCTTGGAAGAAATAACGTAGAAAGAGCTACTTGCACTCATTCATGCTTTGCAAACGTACACCGAATTTACGTATCCGTCTCTGGACCATGTTTTACCAATGTCAAGATAACATCCGGTATTAGATTTAAAAACAAAAGTAAAGATTTTGACAACGTTATTTTGCACAAATAAAGAGTCTAAGGCAGATATAAGTACGCTGATGTTGCACACTTCGAATGATGCACTGCCAATTTAACAGTTTACGTCAGAACTTCGAATTTTTTTAATGTCAATCATTGACATTGGGATGGCCAACTCGGCAACTGATTACCATAATTGCCTTTAGTTTATTTTGTCTTAAGGGATTAAAATCAGGATAATATATAAAATGTCCGGCTGGCTAAAAATAATTTTGGAAGCCCTGGTGTAGAGGGAGTTGGTTCCCCTTTCGATAGCATTCTGGCAAAATTTTGCTGAGGAAGGATAACATTTTTCACCAGTTGAATTAATATTACTTATATAAAGCATAGTCATTGCTATAAATGGCTCCTAAATGACAAATGTAAAACAATTCAAACGAAAAAACTAACAGTCTAATTTATGTACAAAAAAAATAATGAAAAACAATAATTTAACACAGCAAAAAACGACAACCACTGACTTGGGACAAGCACATACATACATGTGGTGGGGTTAAACATTTTAGCCACATCCCAACCCTCCCCTAACCTGGGACAGAGGTGTTACAGTACAACATATAAGAACGGACTATTCAAATCAGTCGATAAAGGTTTTACTCATCAGAGGGATACAAATAGAAATACATCTAACAAAACACAAAGTAGATATGGCCGGATACTTGAACACCCTAACAACAAAATGACACTAAGAACAGATCTGAGAGTACTGGCAGTTACTGACAGCTAGTTCAAAGCCAATAACAACTAATAAAAAAAATCATGCATTTTAAACTAAATTATCAACCATTACACATCCAACATCCAATGGATTTAGTGTAAAGACATCATAAACAGTCAGAGAAAAACACAATCTTGTGCAATGCCAAGATACATGTATCGACAGATTGTAGATCCATGAATGTGAACAATAATATTTAGTTTGCTTTTAATTTATTGATAACAAAATCAATATAAACAACATCTCCTTAAAAATGAGAATGTACTATCCTGTTTGAAATAAGTTTTCTACAGGTACAACTAAATTTCAAAACCAAATCTTTATAGCTATGCCTATGGAAGAATTTTATAGTAAAGGTTTTAAGTAGTTAGTGGTAACGAAATTCCCTGACTTTATAATTTACCAGTAATACATAGATAATGTTCATTAAAATCAAAAACATCACAACAGAAACGGGCATAGTGAAACAAGTTGTGATATATAAACAAAGTAAGATGGTGCCAAAGGAACATCTTCATCCAAAAAAGGAAAAATTAACAATAGGAAACGAAAAATCATCCTTTTAAATTTTTGTCGTAAAATTTTAGTGTGGAGTTTTCCATGTAAAACTGAAATATCTAAATCTAGGAAAGGACAGTTATTCCCGTTTGCGTAACATTTGATTTATTTAAAGTAAAGTACTTTGAGCAAATTTCAGCAGTATATTTAGAAAATTCTTGATTATTTAACAAAAAAATATCATCAAGATAAAGGTAAGTGTTGTTGAATTTATCTGTTAAATGCAATATAGACTAGCTAGTCTTAACTGAGTTTGGTTATTACAGTACAAAAACAAGTCTGCTATTAAAGAGGTGCAAGTAGTGCCCATAGAAATACCTACAACCTGTCGATAAACTTTGTTGTCAAAAGATACATTATTATTATCAAGTAGAAAATTAACAGCTTCAATCATCTCATCACACCTCCAGTAAGTAAGTCTAGCATATTTACCTTTCTCAATACAAAATAAGGCTTTAAATGAGTTGCAGCAAATATATCTGCATTCAAATTTACAAAAACGACCATTTAATTAAACAGGAAAACTTTTGTTTGATAAGATTGTGTGGAAGTAAAGTGGAAAGAGTTGAAAAGTCAAAACTGTCAACATATTGAAAAATAAAGGATTTTAAATGCGGTCTTGGACCTAAAGGTTTAATTACTTAATTACTTAAATTCCAATGAAAATATTCATAGCATACTTATACTGAATAATTGAAATATTCATGTTAATTGATGAACACTTGTGGCATTTGGCTTTCCTTTGTCAATTGTTTGTTTGTACATTAATCTGGGTTGGTTCCACTCATTTATTAATATCCCATTCAAAAACTTTTAGTATCCAGTTTTGTTTCCCTATATAGGTCAAGGTTGTTAAAAAACACCTTGAGGCTACATCACCTTTTTACAATGCAAAATTTAGCAGTTAAAAGACCAAGTTTTGCTCAAAGATTGTTTAGCCATTAGAAACAGTGTCTACCTAAAAACTGGCCAGAGTCCCTGCAGCTGCATGTTTACACATTTACTATTGCCATGACAAAGGAATCAGTCTCATTTCTGGATGAACATGCATATATTCAATGGGATCAATCAGGAGTTTGAATTATGTTGATATTAAATGCTTGATTTTTCATAGCATGTAGAGTTTTGAAAGATTGAGGATAATTAGAATATGAACTGATTTCTTGCCAATTTTGGGATTTGTTCATTGACAAATATTTAAGGATAAAGTTGGAATTGAGGGCAAAGACTTACTCAATGCAGTTTTTGGTGTTAAAGGATGTAACTGTTTTGCTGGATGGTTAATCAGGTTGACTGCAGTGTTCTATACTTGTCATTAGTACACAATATACTTACACTGAATAATTGAGAGATACAATCAACTGACAATAACATATTAGTACATTTTTACATCGGATGCCTGTGACCTCTTTCCGGTGAATTGCTGTTGCCTTGATTTCTATTACGTAATTTTCGTGTTGGGATTGTAACCAATGTGTGTTAACGCATGAGGAAGAAATCTCCCATGCAGAGTTATCGGTTAGCTCTCTCTAAAAGACCATTAACTCTGAATCAGAGATTTAAGATTTTGCAGGAAATTATGAATGCCTACTTAATTCCAATCTATTAGAAAAATCGAATTATTACAGAAGAGTGTCCACCATGCACTTGCACTGCACTATAATTGATATAGTAGAATAGAATGATATACAAATGGATGAAAATTATATATACATGTAACTGTAATATACAAGAATTAATATAATATATAACAACAAACCAGAGTATACTGATTTGTATCACTACAATATAATAGTTATTATGATTAGATTGAATTCCCTGTCATTTATTTATCATCCACGCACGAACTTGTCTCAGAATAAAAAATATGTCTGTACATTAACCTCACTTTCAGGTTTAGAGATGGGTTTTTTTTCTGAGACAAGTGCTTGTGACCATCCACAAGAACTTGCGGTCATCCGAAGGTCAGTACTTCAGTACTTTGATTACAACAAAGTATGAAAACAACACTGAAAAATGACAATTAAACATATTCAGGACCATATCTGAAAATTTGGTATAAAGAGTTTGGCAGATTTTTTTTTTCTTTTCAGGCAGTAAATATTTTGATCATATCCAATATTCTGGTACAACATATTCTCAGGATAATGAATGTTATGGGTACATAGGATTTATATTTGGGTACCAGTCAACACAGAAATACTATGTTGCTCTATGGAGACATAGATATAATAACATGGATGACAGAGGAGGCACCAAAGGGGTACAAATTAGGGTATGTTCTTGATCTTTAAATTGTTTTGAATAAGACAAGGATTTGTGTAGTGTCACTTATATAATACAAATCCTTGAATAAGATAATCACACTTGTTTAAAAATATGAGGTGGTCACCAAAATAGCAAGTGGTGAACTAGTACCACAATTGCACTTAAGGGGCTAGAGGTTATAAATCCAATTTTTTTTAAATATTGGATTTCTCTATTTTTTTTCTATAAATGAACTTCATCATATACTTACAGAAAAATGAAATAAAAAAATTGGTTCATAATTCATTTAAGCTCACAATCTGCCTTCGACGGAAGCATGCATTTTTGTTAAGGTACTTTTTTCTGTTGAATTACTGTGACTTGACTGTTAGTGTTGCCCTCCACAAATTGCAACTTAATCAAAATTCTGACCAAATTGCAATTTGTTTTATAAAATCAAACTGTTCTACTGGTCAGAAATTTGAATAAACTGTGTAGAAAACCACAGCCAAGTGATGAAAGTGCAAGGTGATATAATAAAACATACTTACAATCCTATATTTAATTCGTTTTTAAAGGCAGTGCTTTAATGCCTTTCTGGTTGCCGGGTTAATCTTTCTTTCCGCGATATCCAATTATCTACTAGGGGGGTCATTAGGCTCCAAGTAGATCCAGAAATGTTGAATTCTCTCCTCTTCTTATTGTGATATAAAATGTTTTTTGTTTCATTTCATTTACATTGGGAAATAGAGAAACGATCATTGTGTTTTGTTAGTTTTAAAAACTTTTGATATATTTGTATTTTGCATTATAAGCAGTCAACCGATTGACAAACTAGAATTATTTGAATTCCGTGTGGAAAGAGGTCGGGTTAATATTCGAATGTTATCTGCAATCTAGATGTTTATAAATCATTTCAGTCGTTGATATAATAATTAAAGGTCGACTGAACATGAATTATATTATACAATTTAAAGCGCATTTCTGTTTATGCACGTGAACCCGTCTAACGTTATTGTTATTTCGCAGTTATATAAAGTAGCAAATTATCGTTCCTGAATAGGTGGCGCCGTGGTAGCCGATCGTGTTCCTCAACTTCCGGTTTCTACACTGTGCAACTTTTTAATTAACGATGCCAAGTACTTGTTGTTGTGTACCTGGATGTCATTTAAGAGGAGGACATGCATTTCCAAATGACTTAAAAAGAAGGAAAAGTTGGATCAACGCCATGGCCCATAAGCAGATTGGACGAGAACACGATGAAATCGTGGAGTCCATCTCAATCAGCTGTTGTTTGCAAGGCACATTTTACTGAAAAAGACTACGTGCAGGAAACTATTCATGGTAAAACTCTATTTTCTTTTTTAAATATAGTTATATATGTAATCGCCATGCGAATAAACCAAAGTCTGTTTACAACCGCAATTATCGTTTTAGAATAAAAGGGGGTGGTTAATTCAAGACGTCATATTTTTTTGGATTACGATTCAATGTGATCTGTTTGAGATTTTTGGTGATTGCTACAATTATAATGATTTCTTACATACTGAGAATTATTTTAGCAGTAATTATGTTAATGTAGTAATGACAGGAATGCATAAGCTATGCCTCATAGACTTTCTTGAAAAATATCAATGACAATGTTAACAGGAACAAAACAATGACATGCTCTCATCTATATTATAGTTATTTAGGTACAAACTATGTACGTTTGTTGCATAAGTCTCTCATTGTTTGTCCTTTGGATTTACATAACATACATGAACTAGTATACATATTTGTTTAGGGGCCAGCTGAAGGACGCCTCCGGGAGTGGGAGTTTCTCGCTGCATTGAAGACCCATTAGTGGCCTTCGGCTGTTGTCTGCTCTATGGTCGGGTTGTTGTCTCTTTGACACATTCCCCATTTCCATTCTCAATTTTATTGAATCAGGCAAACATAGTTTTATCCAGATTGTAATGAATAAATCTAGTTAATATTTTGCCAGGTAGTACAAAGTATACATTGCTAATGGAAGTTCATTTAATTATCAAAAAACTAATGTTTTATAACCTTTTTCAGGGCGCAAACCCACCATACAGACTTAAGTCTACTGCCATTCCCAGCCTATTTTCCTGGACCAAGCAAGAGACTGAATCGTCCACAAAAAGAAAAATCAGGGCAGTTTCCTGTAAAAACAAAAGAACTAAACTTGATGAATATTGTAGTAGAAATCTAGAGGAAAGTTTTGATTGTAAAGTTGGTTTTCCTGAAGAAGTCATTCATACTGCAGAAAGGATTTATGACTGTCCACCACCAACTGCCAAGCTAATGTTGAGCTTCACAGATGGAATTACGCAAACACCATCAATGCCTATGTTTTCAGCAGAGAATTTTGAAATGAAGACACGTGACACAGCCATGCATTTTTATACCGGTTTAGAGTTGAATACTAAATTTTTATTTGTTTTGACCATGCTTGGTCCAGCAGCACATTGTTTAAGATACATATATTTTCAAATTGATAGGGTGTCAGTTGAAAATCAGTTTTTTTTATGACTTTGATGAAATTGAGGCATTATACAACCAACTTTGAACTGTCTAGATTCTAGATTGAATCTAGTGTTAAGAATATTGTGTATACATGGATTGTTTTTATGTCTAAACAGTGGTGTGAGGCTAACGCTTGGCCATCTAGTGGTTTAGTCAGGTATTTTTCGCCATCCAACTTCAAATTAAAGTTTCCTACAACTTGGATTATTATTGACAGCACAGAATATCCCGTGATAAAACCTAAACCTCCTAGAGCTCAGGCAACCTTTTCATCATATAAAAACAGAAACACTGAAAATACTTGTATGTTCGACACCTGGTGGTTTAGTCAACTATGTCTCTAATGCATAAGTTGGTTGTACCAGTGACTGTGAAATAGTTGAAAGATGTAGAATAGTTCAATTATGTGATCCAGGTGACAGTGTGATGGCAGACAAAGGTTTAAATTTGCAAGATTTGTTTGCTAACTTCTTTCAAAAAAAGAAACAGAATTAGTTCCAAAACTCTTATACGGGATAGAAAAGTCTCCAATTAACACGTGCACATAGAGCGAATTATTGGACTTGGCAAAACATACAAAATTCTAATAAATCCTATGAATGGAACTGAAACAAAACTTTCATCTGAAATAACATTTAGTTGTTTTATGTTGTGTAATTTTAGAACTTGTATTGTGCCAAAGGATGCATAAATAAAAGTGACGCAATGAATTTTGTTCTGATATATATATATTTACAATTACATGCACATGTAAATTGTAATGCATATAAAAATAAAAATGTGGTATGATATTCAGTGAGTTTATCCAACCAAAGTGCATAAGAAATGGGTTTAAGCAGTTACAGGTGTTACTGTCACCGTACAATCTCCAACAATGAGAAAAACTTGTACCGTGTAAAAAATTTCAGAGATCTTACAAATAAGTTTTGTTGTCTCACCTTGACTTTGGTGAATTGTTTATATCTGTTGATGTAAATATAAAAAAGAAGATGTGGTATGATTGCCAATGAGACAACTCTCCACAAGAGACCAAATGACACAGAAATTAACAGCTATAGGTCACAGTACGGCCTTCAACAATGAGCAAAGCCCATACCGCACAGTCAGCTATAAAAGGCCCTGAAATGACAATGTAAAACAATTCAAACAAGAAAACTAACGACCTAATTTATGTACAAAAAATGAACGATTAACAAATATGCAACACATAAACAAACGACAACCACTGAATTACAGGCTCCTGACTTGGGACAGGCACATACATGTACATACAGAATGTGGCGGGGTTAAACATGTTAGCGGGATCCCAACCCTCCCCCTAACCTGGGACAGTGGTGTGACAGTACAATATAAGAACGAACTATAAAAATCAGTTGAAAGAGGCTTAACTCATCAGATGGATAAATACAAATACAAGCGGACGTGGCCGGGTAGTTGTACATCCAAACAACAAAAAGACGCTAAGTACAGATCTGAGAGTACTCGCAGTTACTGACAGCTAGTTCAAAGCCACTAACAACTGATAAAACAATCTTGCATCTAAGACTAAATTATCAATCCGTAAGCTCCCTTTAGAATTTTATAAATTTTAAATTTTACATTTCTGAGTTATGGGGTTTTATTCATTAAAAAAGGGGGGATTTTCCAGTTTTGGACAACAACTCAAAAATGCTTTAAACAGTTCGCATGAAACTTTGGTGAATTATTTATAGCTATTGATGTACATGTAATCTCCCTATTGATTTTCATAAATTTCAAATATGACATTGAGAAGAAATTGAACTTTATTTGTTTATAGTCTGGCAACAGATTTATTAAGTATTCGGCAACAGCACAGTGTATTGCACAACAGCAAGAAATCTTTAATTGAATATAAATTCAATTCATGTTACCGATTTCATGTTCTTTGACTACATTTATTCAGAAACTATAATATGTCAAATATTTAATTACAATCCAAATTAAGACCTGTATCAAGCTTGAATATTGTGTCCATTTTTGGCCCAACTGTTCAGGTTGGACCTCTGCGGGTGTATACAGCTGCACTCGGCGAATCAGTTTATTTCTTAATTAAGAACTCCTTTTTTCATTCATAAATTACTTTATACTTGGAAATATAATTTTGCTTGGAGTTATAGTTTCTAAAAAAAGTATTGTCATTGAAAGAGTTGACATGTTGCAATGTACATTTATTCTACATAGTTCTATGGTACCAAATCAAAAGTTTATATAAAAGAAAGAAGTCAAAGGTTTCCCATCATAGTTTAGTTACATACATTTTTTTTGTAGCTGAGGTCGTTGAATATAGATCATTATATAAATAAGGAGATGTGTTATGATTGCCAATGAAACAACTATCATCCATACTTACCAGTAACAAACCACATTTGCAAAGTTGAATAAAATACAGTTGATAACATTTACTTATTACTAAAAAGAAAATGCCTAACTATTTTAAACAGTATTTGACTATAAACATAGATAAAAAAGGTACAA